TCTTACATCTAGTCAGTACCTGCTCAGTGTAATAGCTCTTTATATTATGAAGCACACATTCCTACAGGAAAACAGAGCATAGTATACAACCTAAATATACCACAGCAAACCTTCTAATGGGGTCATAGATGAAATGCCACAGAAGCTCTGATAAGAGACAGTACCGCTGAGTTCACATATAACCTGTCTTCCTGAGTTTTCTTTAAAGGCTAATCATGACTGACAGGAGTACAGAGATCTCAAAGGAAGTAACTTCTAAGCAGGGATTCAAAAAATGAATTCATCAATGGGGTGATGGCAGATGGGTCAGAGCAAGAGAAGCTGCGTGAGAGAGGCCTGACAGTGTGTAAGTGATGACCTGTTCAGGCCAACATGGGCTGTACAGATGCTGCTAGATGGTCAGGTTGCATCATCATGGAAATGCCAAGAACAACATGATCAAATCTATGGTTTACAAAAATAGTTCAGCTACATCCTGAAGGATGAAATACATAAAAGAGACTAAGAGCAGGGAGTCTGTTATGAAACTAGGGTGATGGCCATGAAAATGGAGAGGTGAAGATGGAGTGGATGGGAGGAGGCAGGGAAAGCATTTACTGGCCAACTGCACATAGGAGCAGCAGGAGGGTGTGGGGATGACTGTATTCCTGTACTAATAAGAAGAAGCAGGAAGGAAAGCAAGTTGGAGGAGAACGATAATGAGTTCAATGCTATAAATATGAAGTTTGGGGTATCTGCAGGAAGAAAATCAAGTGGGGAGCTTAAAGCATATTTCTGGAGTGCAAGATAGACCCATCAGGGTGGTGGGGAGAGGGAAGGTAGAGAAAAATGGGGAGATGGGGGAATTTTTTTGTCAAGGATTGTTGTATATCTGTACCGTCCAGCTGGTTCTACGAAATAAGACAGATACCGTTCCAAAATAACCTGAAAAACTGGCTCAGCCATTGTACCTCAGCACATCTTGTGTATTCACCCTGAATCTTTACTTTCTTCTATTCAGCATATATGAAGCATCCACTGTGCCTCAAGTGCAATCTCTGAAGAATACATGTTCTTGTAAATAATCCCTCACCCAGGAGTCTATAAAAAGTCCTAATAAAAAAAGCAAGGAGTCACACACAAAAAAAAAAAAATAGAAAAGAAAGAGGACTAGCTGGGAAAAGAGGGGCCAGCAGGAATGAGGGGGGGGGAGGATGAGAGAGGGTAATGGGGCGAATATGATTTAAAATATATAATATACATATACAAAAGTTAAAATGAACTCTATTATGTATAATTAATACATATAAGTAAAAACAAAAAATATAATTTCAGTAAATTTATGCAATGAGGAAAAATAAATCAGAGAAGAGAATGGGGTTGAGAGAGAGGAAAGAGTTTAAACTCAGGTGGCAGAGGTTAAGGGAAGGCATCTTTGATGAAGTGACTTTTAACATGGAGATCTAGGTTATTAGAGATAGCCATGGGAAAATCTGAAAAAGCGTTTCTGGTAGAGAAACGTAGGTATTAAGACTGAGGTCTCAACTAGCTTGAGATAACGGTGGGGGCCCTGCCTGGCTCGACAGACTGAATGCCCACTGTTATCTTAAGACATTTCTGCACTACTGTCTTGTAACGATAACTAAAAGCCTTACATAACTTTCCATGGAATTACAGTTTTTCGTCTAAATTCTGTGTAAGCCTATTGGGGCCAAGATCTGTATTTAAAGTTCATAAGGCAAAATACCTCAGAGATGGGTTAGTGGTCTTTCCCCATTTTTGCCTCTGTAAATGTGGATTAGGCTATTGAGGCCTGCCTTGTCCCATTCTCAAACACGTCTGAACTAATCCCAGTTGCTGCTTCCCATCTGGCAAGCAAACGGGGAGCTATTTCTAGTTCTGCTGTGGTCAGTCAGAGGCCAGGGCTATACAGAGAGCAACTCAGAAAGGCCAAATACCGAGATTCACCTGCCACTTGCACACCTGATGGTTTTACTGAGGCTTGAAGAGTGAAGATTGAAAAGAGACGCAATTCTGCAAGGCTCTGAGAAGCTGTTTGCTTTGCCACAGCTCTACATTTAAACATTATAATAATATTATTATTATCACACAGGGGTGTCATGAGGATTAATGAGACATTACCAAATTACTTTGAGCTACTCCATTGGGGGTACTAAATAAATGGTATGTGTTCCTCTTGAGGTGCCATTTTTGACATTGATTTGCTGCAATGGGTTCTGCTGGCCAACAGGGCTGGAACGCACCCACCAACTCATTTCCTATAGGCAACAGAGTAGCCATCAAAAGGCAATGGTTTTCAGTTAAAATAAATAGGAGCTGAAAGTGAATTAGTCAGCAATCAGAGGCAAATAGGCTGCTGTTAGAAATCCAGTATTTATTAAGTACTCACAGTGATCAGCATATGAGTTTCACAGTGTGCTACAGTACTACAAACATTGAATTTGGAAATGATCCAAGATTTTTGGCTCAGCTCTGTCACCAGCTCCCTATGTGAACTGAACAAATTGCTAAACTGCTCTGGGCTTCAAATACAAAATAAGGGCTGTCCGAAGAAGCTCATAATCAGAATCTTCCAGACAAGCAAATATATGAAAGGAATGGAAATATTCATTTCTGAAGGAGAGATGCTTCAGAGCAGGGAGAAACTTATGGCCATCCATCACAGGACCAGCCTCTGCTCTAGTCCGCTTTGCCATTGATTAATATTAATTCTAGTATTAATTCCTGCAAAAAGAATAAATCACTTTCCAAGTCAGACATAGAAGTGCATGAAACATTGGGTCTTTAAAAATGGGTCTCTGCCTTGCTGTGAGCTATCCTTACAGCACCAGGACACAGTCCGTCTGACTCTCAGATTTAAGTATATGAATGATTGCTCAACTGCCATCCTAATCACCAGCTTAAAATGTGTATAAAACAATGAGGTGACTGTCACACAACATACACTGTGGAGTTTTGTGAGAGTTTTATACAGTTGCTCAGTTTCTTTTTTTCATCTGGCAATATACCATCTGCAGTGCTCAGCACTAGGCTGGATGTAGTGTGCAAAATGATGGAATATAAAGAGCTATGCCCACAAGAGGTGGAAGTGGAAACCTGTAGAATAACTGTACTCTGAGCTCAGATTCCCCTCAAGCCTCATCCCAGGAACCACAACAGGTTCCTGGTCTCAAAAGGCAGAAAAATCCTTCCAGAGCAGATAAAATTACAAAGGATCACTTGTTCGGAGATGCAGCTCAACAAACAAATGTTGAGTTTTAATTATTTCCAAGATGCTTTGATAGTTGCTAAGAACAGAAGTTGGGTAAGGCCTCTCTATCTTAGAGAGCCTCAGGGCTGAGAGAGGTGGTGGGAGGGAATGACCGTGAATCATCTTACATCAAATTGAATTGTCAGCTCACTTCAGGGAATGAGAAGTTGTCTAGACAACAGTTCCTCTTTTGTAAATGACCTGAATGATACAAAAGGAAACAGAATTCTGTAAGCCTAGGGCTGACAAGGGGTTGCTAAACTTCCTCGAAATAGAAATTGTGCTCAAAGCCACCACAATGATGTGATGTGAAGAGAACGTTTAAAGGGGTACCTATTATTTCTAGGCCCAAATTCAGCAACTGAGGCACAACCTGCAGAACAAAAGCTTCCCTACCTTAGCAACTAGAACATGGCAAATTCTGCACCGCCAGGGCACTGTTGCATCATAATAAGTAGAATCTAGGTGTCTGGCCTGCTCACATCTGTCCTGCAACAGACAACTTACTGAATTTTAACCACACAAACTAGGTGTGCTGAACTTCTTTCACATTTTCCCCTCTTATTTTTCCATTGAAAATAAATCTAAGTTTAACAACCAGGCTGCCCTCACTAATCCCAACCAGAAACTCAGTCCTGATTCTACCCAGGGTGAACTAGCCATCACAAAAGTGAATGCAGTTCACTGAATGTAGTAGTTAATGATCCATCTCTTTGCGGCTTTAAGGAAGACTTCAGCTCCTCTGTACCCATAACTCAGTTGGGCGTCTTGTACCAGCACAATTGTTTATAGCACATGCCCACCCCCAGGTTTCACCCTAAACCGAGATAGTGGCACCAGGTTTGTCTAGGGTACCCACCTACAACTCCGTCCCTCCATAACGTTCAGGGTTGGGACCCTGGGCACCTCCTTGGTCCGTCCTACTCCTCTGCCTGGACTTTCTACTCAGGGGAGCCTGCCCCTCCTCAGGCCTAGGTGAAGGGTGCAGAGTGAAGATGTGGTCCTTGCGCAGGTCTAGCAGCCCAGAGATTGGGACGCGGCCACGAGTAAAGGGTACGCCCACGGAGCCCTTGAGCTGGGAGCCAGGCATCCGGATTCCTCCAGGGCCAGCCAGGCTGGGTACGCTTGAGGGTTGGAGCGGGGGTCTCAGAGATGCAAACTGAGGGTAGCCTGGTGACAAAGAGCCGCGAGGAGCGCGGCGGGGAAGCGGGAAGCCGGGCGCGCGCAGTGGGCGGGAATCCCCGGGGCCGCGGCGAGACGGGCGCGCGCCCCGCGCGGAGGGGGCGGAGGAGGGGACGGAGGCGTCGGGGGCGAGCGGTCCCGCGCACCGCGCCAGACCCAGACAGAATAGAGCCTCGCGGCG